TAAAACAAATCAAACACACTACACTACACTCCACTACACTATTAATGAAAGTAATCACACTACACTCAAAAATGAAATTCATTACACTACACTAATAAAACAATTCAAACGTGCTACAAACTTGAAATTCACTACACAACATCATTAAAATAAAAACACTACACAACACTCAAAAATGAAATTCATTACACTACACTACTCAAATAAGTCAATTTGACATTTACCACACCACACTATGAAAATAACTACACCTCACTCACCTGTGTGCACCATATTGCACCTACTGTATAGGGAGATGTTACATGTGGCATCATCACATGTGTTCCGAAAAACACACTATAGAATTAGCTAGCTGCTCAGTTGCTCCTAGGGTCACCTACAACATCAACAAAAAAGGGCTAAGTCCCCACTTCTCCAAGGGTACCCCCTTGGGCAGAAGTCACGTACACTTCAGGAATATTACAACCTCAGCAAAAGAAATTACCATCTTTCTTATAATCTCACCACCACACTTGAAAAATTACCACCGCACTTCAAAATTCACCACTATAATAGCAAAGTCACCACCTCATTTCGAATATCACAACGAATATCACCACCAAAGCAAGCATCTCACCACCGCAATTAAAAACCAACCACCACAGTATCAATATCACAACCCTAGCAAAAACCTTACCACCACATAAAAAAACTTGCCACCACACTACAAATATCACGATCCACCCTCCCTCCTGTCACAACCCCACTCCATCTATCATCCATCCACCTGCATCCATCTTACCTCACCACCCAATACGACTATATCACTACCACACCATCCTCAATCTCACCACCTCATCGACATCCACCATTACATTCACCACCACTTCGGCATTCAAGTGTGAGTCCTTGCCACCCTACCATTTATTCCTTACCACGATTCTCACATCTCCAATGTACTTCCCATTCATCTTACGGTCGCCTCCTTACCAATCGACCATTGTAGTCTTATCCATGGAAGCAGAAGAGTATACACTACCGGTCCCCAACACCATTGAAATAAAACACAAAGATTGTCGCAAAATGGACGACTACGTCATGTCCTTCCCAGCCACGCAACATGGCTATCGAATGCGCATTGGTCACTCCCAACCAAAGAGCAGTCCAGTTTCAACCTACGAGTGTTATCGCTCCGGGTATCCCAAAGGTCAACCAGCAGCTTTAGGAACGACCAAGTCCCTTCGCATAGGATGTCCACTCGAGCTCACCACGCGATACATTTACTCAACGTCATCATGGATCCTTATCCACACTCACGTCGGGCACAACCATCCACCAGACCCATCTGTCAAACCTCGCAAGCGGCATATTGATCCAAAGGCACCGCCGATACTAGCTCCAGGGGTTGTTTGGGATGCATCTGACGGCCCTACCTCGACACCAGTTCAAGATCAAGATCAAGAACAACAACCTCTCGCACTCGTTTCAAATCAGTACATAGTGCCACCTTTACAGGTACCACACGACTTTGAAAATGGCTCACAAGCACAAGACCTGCACAGTACCATGGAATCCACCATCTCATCATTACCTGATTGTCTCCGCGCTATGACACCACGCCGCAAGCATGCTACACTTA